GACTAATAGTCCAGAACCTCTCCACCTTCTAAGGTAACAAGAACCAACACGGGGTTCTACTGAGCCTTTTGAATTTATTTTTTTAAGTGCTTTTTTTTTTATTGAATGCAATAAAACCCTCTTAAAGGTTCTTCACATTCTAAATGGAACCTCAGAAATAGAAAAAAATCGTGCGTGCGTGCACGTGTGTGTATGTGTGTGTGTGTGTGTGTGTGTGTCACGAGGGGTTCAAGCGACCTGCAGCCAGCACGTAACGTGACTCCTGGAGACGCTGCGTAACGAGACGCGCTGCTTCAGTCAGCGGCCTCCTCTCAAGATGAAGGAAGCCTCTGATAACCGCCGGCGCTCAGCGCGTCCCGACCCCCCCACGGTCGTTCTGTGGCCTCCTCACCCTGCAGGTCGACGTCGCTTCTCCTCTCACGCCCCCTCAGACGGTCCCTCGCTGTCAGTCCCGTGAAGTGGGCTCACGTGTCGCGCCTAAACGGGCTTTGGGCTGCCGTTGTTCTGTCTGGTGGAGGCCTTTTATAGTCCTGCTGTCCTCCACCTCGCCCCCTCTAACTTTGGTTCTCGGCGCCCCCTGCCGGTCAGAAAGGGGAGGTGTTGTATAAAAGGAACCTCGGGCTCTCAAGCTGCTCAACCTTTTCCGTGTGCGTTTTGAACCCCGCGGCTTTTACAGCGTCCGGCTAACAGACGGGTGATGATGAGTCTTTGTGTTTCCAACAGCCATCGTATTCAAACACTCGTCGTGGAACACGTAGGGATGCAAGTGATGAGCTGATGAGATGATTTAAGTTACGGGAAAACGTCTGTCAGGAGGAAACCGAGCGGCTGCACGTAAACTCATTAATGAATCAACGGCGAGACGTTGGAGACTCAATGTGAAGAACGTACGATGTAAAAAGAAGACAAAAGCTTTGGACGTTTGCTTTTTTCTGTCTAACTGTAGGTGTGCGGCTTCTAGGTGCGCTCTGTAAAGTACGATGCATGTTCTCTTTCTCATAGACTGTCCTGATAAATGCCGTCCTTCCGCTCTCCTCCCCCTGCATTTCAGATTCGGACGTATCGGCCGTCTGGTGACCCGCGCCGCCGCCTCAGGAGGCAAGGTGGAGGTGGTGGCCATCAACGACCCCTTCATTGATCTGGAATACATGGTGAGGACACTTCGTTTAATATCAAGACGGGTCTTTGTGTTTTCCGACGAGTTCCTCAATCAGAGGCCTTAAATCCCTTGAAGGAAGCGGATGCTTTGAGCCTCCGTCTCTCCCTCCGCACAGGTCTACATGTTCAAGTACGACTCCACCCACGGCGTGTGGAAGCTCGGGGAGGTGAAGGCCGACGGCGGCAAGCTGGTCATCGGCAACATGCACATCACGGTGTTCCACGAGTGCGTTGGATCCACTTCCTCTTTTCTCTCCCTCTGTGGGCCGGACGCGGCCTAACCTCTCCGGTTGTGCCCCAACAGGAAGGACCCCGCCAACATCAAGTGGGGCGACGCCGGCGCCGACTACGTGGTGGAGTCTACCGGCGTTTTCACCACCATCGAGAAGGCCTCCGTAAGCACAAATAAACCATCAACCGGGATACGTTTTAAAGATCATCCTTTCTGTTTTCATTTAAAATCCAACGAGTGTTATTTCGCTTGTCGCTTCCCAACCTTTTGACCTCTGCCGTGTCCGCCCAGGCTCACCTCAAGGGCGGTGCCAAGAGGGTGGTGATCTCCGCCCCCAGCGCCGACGCTCCCATGTTCGTCATGGGCGTCAACCACGAGAAGTACGACAGCTCCATGAAGGTTGTGAGGTGAGTCTCCGATCGATGAGGTCCTTCTCTAATCTGTCCACATCAAAGTCGTCTAACTCCTGGTTACCGTCTGTCTCCATAGCAACGCTTCCTGCACGACCAACTGCCTGGCTCCCGTCGCCAAAGTCGTCAATGACAACTTTGTTATCGTTGAGGGTCTCATGGTAAAAAACTCTTATTAAAGTTCACCTTTAAGTTAAATGGTCACAGCTGTTTGCCTACTCAATTCGTAAGATTTTCTAAGGTTTAGTTCAACTTTTTAATGTATTTATAATTTATTAAGCTTAAAAAATGTTGATACATTTCTGTTTGACTTTTCAGGTAAATTGTGTTTCTGTGTTGAAAAATAACAAAGGATCTGACCAGCTGCCTCTTTCGCTACGTTTATCAGACGGCTTTTCTGATTATTTGTACTGTGAAAGCAGCCAACTAGCATGAACCTGCGCTCCCTGTCCTCCAGAGCACCGTGCACGCCATCACCGCCACACAGAAGACCGTCGACGGCCCCTCCGGGAAGCTGTGGCGGGACGGGCGCGGCGCCTCCCAGAACATCATCCCCGCCTCCACCGGCGCCGCCAAGGCCGTCGGCAAGGTCGTCCCCGAGCTCAATGGGTAGGCCTTTTTAAATTGGTTAATTTCCATGGCGAGAAACTAAAGTTCTCCACATCGCTCGATTAAATGGACTCATCAAATTATAGATTTCTTTTCATCCATTAATATTCATTAATATGGAGGTGTGAAAATCACCGGGAACGAAACACAACTCCAATCATCTGTAGCTTCTTCTTCTCTGCAGTAAGCTGACCGGCATGGCCTTCCGTGTCCCCACCCCCAACGTCTCCGTGGTCGACCTGACCGTCCGCCTGGAGAAGCCGGTACGTGGGCCTCCGCTCCCCCCTCCGTTGTCAATTCGACTCGCTCCCTTCAAATCAAGCTGTTTAGAATCCAACCCTCTGCTTGTCGCCTCATCAATCCTCCTTTGACTAAAAACGTCTCGTCCTTCAAGGCCAAGTACGACGACATCAAGAAGGTGATCAAGGCCGCCGCCGAGGGACCCATGAAGGGAATTCTGGGATACACAGAGGACCAGGTACACAAGGAGTGTGGAACTCATTACGAGCCACTAGGTGGCAGCCGACCATGAAGGGTCTGAAATGAGAACTAAAGTCAGTATGAAGTGCATCCATGAGCCAGAAGGACGACCGTGACGCGTTGTGTCACTCTCTTCCTGCTCAGGTGGTTTCCACCGACTTCAACGGCGACACTCGCTCCTCCATCTTTGACGCCGGCGCCGGCATCGCCCTCAACGACCACTTTGTCAAGCTGGTTTCATGGTGAGTGAGAAGGTGAAGGTGTCACGTCAGCAGTAATGAAGGGGGGGGCTATGGATTTGTTTAGCTGTTGAGATGAGAAGGTTCATCCCTCCCTGCACATGTAAGAAAGCCGTGTTTTCCCCCTCTGGCTGCCTGCAGGTACGACAACGAGTTTGGCTACAGCCACCGCGTGTGCGACCTGGTGCTGCACATGTTCTCCAAGGAGTGAAGACCCTCCGCCACTCCTCCGCTTCCTTCCCATGATTCCCCTCTTCCCTCACCTGTGGCCGAAGGTCGCGCCATCTGACCGCCCCCGCCCGACCCCCAACAGGAGCATCACGAGCATCCTGCACGACGAACCGCTAATAAATAATGAGCATGTCATCTATTTTTAATATAAGCGCGTGAGCTCCGTCCGCCAGGGAGGGGCACACTAGGCGGTGTTTGGAGAGATTTTCCATCGCTTACTGTATTGTACTGAATGATCTGGTTGCACTAACGTGCACACTGGCTCCTTTGCACTTGATAATAAAGTAGTTTGTGGAAAGAAGGGTGTACTTTGTACTCACTAACTATTCTAATCTCTGATGGGTCTGTTCTACAGCTAGAAGCTGTTAAATTATTCCTCCCCACACAAATTACTTGAGGTTTTGTTCAGAATATGAAAATCATTTCTGGAAGAAAATCCAAAATTAAATTTGGTAGTTAATTTGTGAACCCCAGAGAGGAAGACAGGAGGACACATGTCACTCCTGATAATGTTGTGTGAATAATTTCTCTCCGTTACTTCAATTAATAAATGACGACGTTGTCACTTTTAATTCACACAAAATTCAGTCATCTGTGAACCCTCACACATCAGAGTTGATCGCAAGATGTTATAATTGTATTATCCATGATTAATTTGTTCGTCAACTATTATGCAACTTGCACAGCGAAATTCAGTTGTAGCCTCCATGCAACAAACACAAAATAAATGTATGAACAGGTGTTCAAATGTAAAAAAAATAGAGTAGGAATCAATTAAATAGTAAAGTGGAGGTGATATTTTTAACTAAAGATTTTGACACGTGCTTGTTTTTTTTTCATTCACCGGGATCTTCACAGCTGTTTTTCTGGGAGAAGGGTGCGCAGGGGGCGGGGCTACCTGCTGTTTCAGTCAGCCTATTACAACACGCGACAAACAGAAGAAGGCGGGGCTACGTGTAGCACTTCCTGGTTGAAACATGGAGACACGTGACCGCCGTGTATACGTTTTGTCTGATAAAACAACTACACGTCGACCTCCTGTGACTCGCAGTCGTTTTTAGCATTTATGCCCAGAATTGGTTGGACAGTTTTAGCTAACGTTCCAATAATAATACACTTAGAATATTGATAAGAACTGACTGTTTTCAGCTGAGTTAAAAGGTGTTAGATGAAAGTTCAACCTATTACCGTTATAACTGAACATTTGTGTAATTATTAAAGCTATATTTGCCTTAATCAGGATAAAAAAAAGCCGTTGCTGTTTCTCTGAAATCATGCTAACGTAAGCTGCAGCTAGCTAGACCCGAAGCTCGCGTTAATTCAGCCGCAGTCGAAGTTTGGAAACTACCTGAGGTACAGGTGGATGACTGCTTTCCATTTTTTAAAGGCAAAGGGATTACAAAGTGACGATGTCAAGTCAGCCTGCATAGAATCTAATGTTTCTAACAAAGTATTCCGGGAGGCGTTATAGCAGCTGCGCCTCTCCTCCCGTCAGTACGGTAGCCGAGGCGGACCAGAGCGGTGCGCCTCTCCTCCCGTCAGTACGGTAGCCGAAGCGGACCAGAGCGGCGCGCCTCTCCTCCCGTCAGTACGGTAGCCGAGGCGGACCAGAGCGGTGCGCCTCTCCTCCCGTCAGTACGGTAGCCGAGGCGGACCAGAGCGGTGCGCCTCTCCTCCCGTCAGTACGGTATGTCAGCGCCGCAGTCCGTCACTCGTGTTTATCCGCGCGCTGCGCTGCACCCCCGCGCGGCTCTCTGCTCGGGCTCGTTTGAGCTCATCGTCGTGGGGACAGGTCTGTGTTTCCTCCTCCTCCGGGTACGGGGCTTCTGTGTTTGTCACATCCGCGGTGCGCTTCATTCTGAGGCCCAGAATAAACATCTGTGCGATAGTGAACGGTGAACTCGTCTCTTTCCGCGGCGGCGTGTCCGACTTTAAAGGCACGTTGTGATCAATAGTTTGATCCGTAATCATCTTTCGCCGGGCTGTTATTCCTGCTGCGACTTCGGGCCCGTGAAGCACCTTTTAAATCCGCAGCATCTGACTTCAGCGCATCCTTTTGCTTTGAGGTGTTAGAAGCAGGGCGGCGGGTCCCGGTTCGTGCCTATAATCAGGTCTTAAACGGAGCTGTTTGCCGAGTTGAACTGGGTTGATGCCGGATTTCGAGCACTTCAGATTTTCCTACTCGAGCATGAATCCGGTCCTGGGGGAGAGCGGCTTCCAGCATCAGCACCAGCAGCACCATCAGATGGCCGACGACTCCGCCTACCTGGAGCCCGGATACTTCCTGGGGGACCACGGCGGGTTCGGGCCGGACGGGTTGTCCGGGCTGGACCTTGAAGCCCTCCCGCCGTCGGGCCTCACCTACATGCAGCCGGGCAACCCCTCGCGCCGCGGCCCCCCCGCGGCCACGGCGCTGCGCAACGACCTGGGCTCCAACATCAGCGTGCTGAAGACCCTCAACCTGCGCTTCCGCTGCTTCCTGGCCAAAGTGCACGAGCTGGAGCGCCGGAACAAAGTGCTGGAGAAGCAGCTGCAGCAGGCCGCGGAGGAGCAGGGGGGGGTCGGACGCCACAGGCCGCAGACCAAAGAGATGGGGGTCCAGACTGGATTTGTCGGGCCCATTCCAGGCAGACCGGGCCACATTCCGCTCCACAACGCCAACAACTCGGCGTACCTTCCCGGCGGCCTCCTCTCCCCGACCCTGAACCCCCCTCCTCTGTTTGACAACAAGTACCTGGGGGGCCGCCTCTACCCGGGCGCCACGGATTCCAACTCCAACCTCACCACGCCCGGGTTCTCCATCAGCCCGGCCCCGAGCCCCACCGACCCGTCCAGGGCCATCTCCAACATCAACGAGAAGTACGCCTCTCACGGCGGGACCAACGCCGGCAGGACGCCGCCCCCCGCCCCGCCGCGGTTCCTCCCCGGATCCATCTGGTCCTTCAACCACGCCCGCCGCTTCGGCGCCGGGAGGGAGTCGTGCGCCTCCCGGACTCCCCCGGGCGGGGTCGCGGTGCAGGTCGACACCATCACGCCGGAGATCCGGGCCCTGTACAACGTGCTGGCCAAGGTGAAGAGGGAGAGAGACGAGTACAAGCTCAGGTGAGCACCTACCTGCATGACCCTTGACCTCTAGCAGGGCCGCGGTTCGGATCGCCAGAACCAACGGCAACATTTTCACATGAAGGGGTCGAGCTTCCTGCTCAGACCTGCTCAGTTCGCAGTGATCCTCCTAAAACCACAAAGTCAATCCAGCGGTTGCGTCTCCTTTTGCGCATCGTCAACAGTTCACTCGTCATGAATTAAATTAGTTCCGTGAATTAATTCACGTCACATAATTGAGAGGAATTAGTCCGACATCTTCTGTGTTTCACGCCGTCTCTGCTGCCTTTCTGCAGTCTCATCGAGCTCGCTCACACGTCACCACTAAAGCTCACACGGGTTCTGCTCAGGTTCTGCACGGGTTCTGCTCAGGTTCTGCATGTTCCACAGCTGTGGGGAGGGAGTGGTGCAGGGCTCCTTTAAACTCTACCAAAATAAGACTTGATATCAAAGCCTCCTGTTGCAACCTTCAACCTGTGAAGAAGATTTGGTTATTTGAAACAATGTGGACATAAAGATCGAAGAAGAGCTCCGTTAGCCAAGTTTCTACTTACTACAGACCTTATAGAAAGGGTCTCATACGTCTTTTTATTTCTCGCTTCTCTCGGCATGATTTTGGGCCCGTCTGGCTGGGGGGTAATCAAGTTTTCAAGCCCAGATGAAGAAGAGAGCTTCTCAGAACAGGTGGAGTGATGCAGCCGTGACACAGAAAAGAGGATGTCCTGAAGGATGATGTTCTTGCTGGACGTAGGAGACTTCGGGGGAAGGTGACCTCGCTGTCCTTGCTTCTTTCTTATAGGAGGCACACTGGAGTCCGGCATGTTCCTCTCGGTTTTGTCTTGGTCTCTTTCGGCCCCCCCCCCCCCCCCCAGCTGGCTTTTGTCCTGACACCTGCAATGCAGCACTGTGATGTCAGCCTCCTCCTCTGAGCAGCGTCTCTGCTTTTCAGCCTCTTCTGTGTCTTTCAGCCGTTTATTGAAACGTTTGCTGCTGTCGTCCCTTCTGTTGACTCATCATCCCTCTCCTGCACGCCCCCCCCCCACCCCCTCCTTCTGTCCCATCTGAGCCTCTGCAGCCTCAGGCCAACGATGACATCATCATTAACCGCATCGGTTCCCCCCTCAAACCCCTTTCACCTCCCTCAGTCGTCCTCGTTATGGTGGAGGCTTTAAAATAAGTAAGAAAACACCCAAACGAAAGCGTTCGAGTCCCCCGACGGTTGTAAATGGGCTCGATGGTGCAGAGCGGCGCTTTGTCTGACTTGTCTTCTCTGGTTTGAGGAGCAAAGCCTGAACCAGAACCTCAGACCTCCATTAGTTTATATTAATACCAGCCGGTAGATCCACAGCTTCCTTTTTAAATCAGTTTGAATCTGTTTAGGGACATTTGGTGAAAACGGAGATCGTTTGTCTCTTTGGAAGGGATTGTTTTCGGTGGAATAAATGATTCGTCTTCATAGAGCTGGACGAGCAGATCGATGCCACTGATGTCTGATTGCTAAATATAAAGAGAGCAGAAATGACGACATCAGGTTTGTCTCTGTGGAGTAAATAAAGCAACCAACTCGCACAAACAAATGAGATAGCTAGTACGCCGCCGTTAGTACGGTGGCCCTTTTAGGACATTCAGACCCACTTTGTTTGATTCCTCCGCCTTTAGCTGAACTTAAAGGGTTCAGTGGGTTAATGTTAACGTGACTTCACACCTGTGGAGACAAAGAACATTAAATGTCATGAGGTTCGGTGATTAGTGTCACATTAGAGCCCCGTTTGTAACAAGTGAACTTGTCTCTTCACACGTCCACCCTGAAGACGAGACGCTTCTTATTCACAGTCCACACAGGGAGAACAACAGGAAGTCTGACGTCGTCCTTCTGCTTGTTGACCTGCGTGATCCTGCTGTGTGTGTCTGCAGATGGGAGGAGGAGTACTCGGCCAGAATGGACCTGCAGGAGAAGGTGGCTGAGCTGGAGGAGGTGAAGAGACCTTTGGACTGCTGTGTTATCTACGAGCTGCTCTTCTTCTGAACGTGTGTGTGTGTGTGTGTGTGTGTGTGTGTGTGTAGGACCTGCAGGAGAGCGAGGTGAGCCAGGACGAGCTGGCGCTGAGGGTGAAGCAGCTGAAGGCCGAACTCGTCCTCTTCAAGGGACTCGTCAGCAGCGTGAGCTTTAAACAGTCGAGCGCAGGGTGGATTCTTCTTCGTTGAGATGTGGTTTTCAGAGCGAGATCATTGTTCTCCTCTTTCTCCACCAGAACCTGTCGGACCTGGACAGTAAGATCCAGGAGAAGGCCATGAAGGTGGACATGGACATCTGCCGCCGCATCGACATCACCGCCCGGCTCTGTGACGTCGCCCAGCAGAGGAACTGCGAGGACATGATCCAGATGTTCCAGGTACGTCGGGGGCGGCCATCTTGAATGTCTCCACTGTCGACTAAATAAAAAATAAAAAAAACACGTCTCCCTTCTCAGCAGGCGGCCACGCCCCCTTTCGCCCCGGGCGGCCGGGCCAGGAGGCCGAGCGGCCAGTCGGCGAGGGCCGTGGACGGAGACGAGGCCAGCGCGTCCGAAAGCGAGGGGGGCGGGGCCAGAGACGAGGAGTCATGCAGCACCTCGGCCAGTCAGATCAACGAGCAGATGCAGAGGATGCTGAATCAGCTGTGGGTGTTTCCTCCGATGGCGACACGCCGACGGTCCACCGGGAATGTGATGTGTCTAACGTGTGTGTGTGTGTGTGTGTGTCCAGGCGGGAGTGTGAGTTTGAGGATGACTGTGACAGTTTGGCCTGGGAGGAAACTGAGGAGACTCTTTTACTGTGGGAGGACTTCCCTGGATACCCTCTGGGAGTGGAGACGCAGGGAGAGGTGCGTCAACACCCTAATGTTGGTTTTACTGTAATTCAGACATACAGTTCATGCGGAGAGTATTCACAGCGCTTCACTTGTTCCACGTTTTGTTATGTTACAGCCTTATTCCAAAATGGATTAAATTCATTATTTTCCTCAACATTCTACACACAACAACCCATATGACAAAGTGAAAACTGTTTTTTGCAAATTTTTGCAAATCTGTTAAAAATAAAGAACGAAAACATAACCTGTACATTCACAGCCTTTGCTCTACTTTGTTGAAGCACCTTTGGCAGCAATTACAGCCTCAAGTCTTCTTGGGGATGATTCCACAAGCGTGACACACCTGTTTCTGGGCAGTTTCTCCCATTCTTCGTTGCAGAACCTCTCAAGTTCCATCAGGTTGGATGGGGAGCGTCGGTGCACGGCCATTTTCAGATCTCTCCAGAGATGTTCAATCGGGTTCAAGTCCGGGCTCTGGCTGGGCCACTCAAGGACATTCACAGAGTTGTGCCGAAGCCGCTCCTTTGTTATCTTGGCTGTGTGCTTCGGGTCGTTGTCCTGTTGGAAGATGAACCATCGCCCCAGTCTGAGGTCCAGAGCGCTTTGGAGCATGTTTTCTTCGAGGACGTCTCTGTACATTGCTGCCTTCATCTTTCCCTCAATCCTGACGAGTCTCCCAGTTCCTCCCGCTGAAAAACATCCCCACATGATGCTGCCACCACCGTGCTTCACTGTAGGGATGGTATTGGCCAGGTGATGAGCAGCGCCTGGTTTCCTCCAGACATGACGCTTGGCATTCAGGCCAAAGAGTTCAATCTTTGTTTCATCAGACCAGAGAGTTTGGTTTCTCATGGTCTGAGAGTCCTTCAGGCGGGCTGTCGTGTGCTTTTTACTGAGGAGTGGCTTCCGTCTGGCCACTCTACCAAACGGGCCTGATGTGTGGAGTGCTGCAGAGATGGTTGTCCTTCTGGAAGGTTCTCCTCTCTTCATAGAACAACGCTGGAGCTCTGTCAGAGTGACCATCAGGTTCCTGGTCACCTCCCTGACTAAGGCCCTTCTCCCCCGATCGCTCAGTCTGGCTGGAACCACCAAGTTTGGAACCACCAGGAAGAGTCCTGGTGGGTCCAAACTTCTTCCATTTACGGATGATGGAGGCCACTGTTCTCATTGGGACTTTCAATGCTGCAGAAATCTTTCTGTACCCTTCGCCAGATCTGTGCCTCGATACAATTCTGTCTCGGAGGTCTACAGATAATTCCTTGGACTTCATGGTTTGGTTTATGCTCTGATATGCACGGTCAGCTGTGATACCTTATATAGACAGGTGTGTGCCTTTCTCAATCACGTCCAATCAACTGAATTTAGCACAGGTGGACTCCAATCAAGTTGTAGAAACATCTCGAGGATGATCAGTGGAAACAGGAGGCACCTGAGCTAAATGTTGAGTGTACATGTTATGTTTTCGCTCTTTATTTTTAACAGATTTGCAAAAATGAGCAAAAAACAGTTTTCACTTTGTCATTATGGGTTGTTGTGGAAAAAAATGAATTTAATCCATTTTGGAACAAGGCTGTAACATAACAAAGTGAAGCGCTGTGAACACTGTGTGTATTAAGCCCCCCCGTGCTGCTGTGTCCAGCTGCAGCAGCAGGAGGAGTCCATCGAGGAGGTGATCAAAGACACAGAGTGCCTGTTCAAATCCAGGGAGAAGGAGTACCAGGAGACCATCGACCAGATAGAGGTCAGCGCGTTCCCTGCTGACGCCGCCGTGGCCGCGTCTCCGTGGCAACGGTGGCGTTAAAGCGTCTCCTCTCTCTCTCTCTCCCTCTCTCTCTCTCTCTCTCCCTCCGATCAGCTGGATCTGGCGACGGCCAAGAGCGACATGAACCGCCACCTGCACGAGTACATGGAGATGTGCTCCATGAAGAGAGGCCTGGACGTCCAGATGGAGACGTGCAGGAGGCTCATCACTCGCAGCGCGACGGGTGAGAAACGTTAATGCTTCCAAATGAAGGAAACCACTGAATGAACTCTGTGGTGATAATATTTTTCATCACAGATGATCCTTCTTCCTTTGCGACATCACGGACATATCACTGAGCGCAAGTTGTTCAGTTTTGACACTCGATCTTTTTTTATTGACATTAATTCGCGTTGAGCAGGATGTCGCCTTCGCTGACGGCGGACGACTCCGACGGCGAGGAGAGGCAGAAGAAGAAAAAGAAGAAGAAGAAGAAACAACAACCGGCCGTCCCTGCTGAGACGGAGACGAGCCGCTCGCTCTGTGACGCCGCCGCCGCCGCCATCCCCCCTCTGACCTGGAGGAAACCCTAACACACACACACACACGCACACGCACGCGCACACACACACACACACACACGCACACGCACGCACACACACGCGCGGTGCTCTGCTCGTCTTTGGTTCTCAGCAGACTTACGGTTGACATTATTTTAAAACCAGCAGACGTAAAATCTTATTGAGTAAATTTTATTTTTTAAAGTGACTAATTCTGGCCTTAGTGCGCAGCTGCTGCCCTCGTGTGGCCGTCAGCTGTAACTGCACCTCAGCGGAGGTCAAAATGAACAAAAAGGCGCTTTCAGAAACATGCAGACGAGAGAGACGCGTTTGTTCTGCAGGCAGAAGCCGATTATTTGCACATTTTTCGTATTGATGCCTTTCAGCTGCACAAAGAGTCAGTAACGCACGGAGAGAACGTTTTCACACCAACCGCTCGTCAACCGCTTGATCCTCCCAGAATGCTTGTTTTGCACGAATAGAACTCCTAAAAGTGAAATAGAACGATAGTCTGGGAAACAACAATCTAACACGCCTCCAGCTATCAAAGCCCAGCTTGCCTTAAACTGACACACGTTAGTCTGTGGAGTCGCCACATTGGGAATAAATACACCCTCTTGTCACAATGTTCTCTCAACTTAACTAAAGATCTATGAATGTACCTGCTATCAAAATGACTGCTAATTTGAAGGTGAAGTCAAATGATTATTTCCTGTTAACTGTTTATTAGAAGGAGACATCACCACTGAAAGTTCCTAAATAAATGCTGCTGATCTATTGTGACAGTGGCATTGAAATCGCTTTCTTTTATAGACCAAAGGTGGGCTGTGATGATGATTATTCTCACTGAATTCTGTAATTATTTTTCTATGAAATGGAAAAGGCAATAAGATGCATGTTGGGCTTTTCATGCTTTAATATTGCTGATTCTTTTCTGTTCATGACCGTTTAACTTAAAACTAAAATCCACTTTTTAGGGGAAAAAAGTGGATTTTAGTTTTGAGAACTTGAAGAGCTGCACAACTGAGGCGTATTTTCGTCTCCAAAGTAAAAAATGGACGGCATCAATCAGGAGCTGACCTCCACGTTAGCATCAGTGCTAATCCACGACGTCGTGGCCCGAGAGTCCCACGTTTCAATCAAATATCAGAAGGGATCTTGAGACCGTTGACAACAGACACTTTAGGGAATTTTATTTTTATTTTACTAACAGTGACCTATTTTAAGTATGTACAGTTTGTAACTGCTAAATATTGTATTTAATGTACATAAAACAGCTGTGTATAATCCTGTGATGTCAATTAATTTATACCTTTTTACCATAATTGCTGTTGCTATTAAATCAGATCTCTTAGTGTGAGAATAAATCCGCCTCAGCGATGATCACGTGTACGTTAGTGAATAAAAGTCTGCTCAACCTGCCACGTCCTCCACAGAAATACTTCTTCAATGAGCTGAACTCCTCCAGATGTTTCCCAGTGCAGAACAAAGTCGCTTCGGGACACTGAACCCGCCGACTGATCAGAGAGCAGAAAGTAATCCAGCGTGTAAGGAAATGAAATCATCGCTTCACGTGTAAAACATCAACAGAAAATAAAGTCATGCAGTCTTCATTTACTCAAATAAAAACAATTAAAAAGGTGAAATATTGCACGTTTCACAGTGACTTGACATGTTAAATGTAGATCATGAGTATAGAAATACATGCTTCACATTTTGTCTTTTGTAAAATACGTCCCATTACTACCAACTTGTGTGTGATTTTATGTCATGAAAAAATATTTTACATTTTTAATATATTTACTTTTTTCTTTTTTTTCAACATACTATGACTAAAAAATATTTTTGACATAACATACTACGTTTATTTTTTGACCTAATATACTGTGACTTTTATAACACCCCATAGCAACGACCCTCTCTATTCTGGAGAGAGACGTTAACCGGCTCTTTAGAAGACTAAATCCCCGTAAGGCAGCCGGCCCGGACTCCGTCTCCCCTCACTCCCTGAAGCATTGTGCTGACCAGCTGTCTCCGGTGTTCACTGACATCTTCAACACCTCCCTGGAGACCTGCCACGTACCAGCCTGCTTCAAGGCCTCCACCATCATCCCTGTCCCCAAGAAGCCCAGGATCACAGGACTCAATGACTACAGGCCCGTCGCCCTGACCTCTGTAGTCATGAAGTCTTTTGAACGGCTAGTCCTGACCCACCTGAAGTCCCTCACTGACCCCCTCCTGGACCCCCTGCAGTTCGCCTACAGAGCCAACAGGTCTGTGGACGATGCTGTCAACATGGCCCTCCACTACATCCTCCAGCATCTGGACTCCCCAGGAACCTACGCCAGGATCCTGTTTGTGGACTTCAGCTCTGCTTTCAACACCATCATCCCGTCTCTGCTGCAGGACAAACTCTCCCTGCTGCACCGCCCGACTCCACCTGCAGGTGGATCACAGACTTCCTGTCTGACAGGAAGCAGCACGTGAAGCTGGGGAAACATGTCTCAGCCTCTCGGACCATCAGCACCGGTTCCCCCCAAGGCTGCGTTCTCTCCCCTCTGCTCTTCTCCCTGTACACCAACAGCTGCACCTCCAGCCACCAGTCCGTCAAGCTCCTGAAGTTTGCAGATGACACCACCCTCATTGGACTGATCTCTGGTGGGGACGAGTCCGCCTACAGGTGGGAGTCTGACCATCTGGTGTCGTGGTGCAGCCAGAACAACCTGGAGCTCAACGCTCTAAAGACAGTGGAGATGGTTGTGGATTTCCGGCGGAACAGAGCCCCAACCTCCCCCATCACCCTGTGTGACTCCCCCGTCACTATTGTGGATTCCTTCCGTTTCCTGGGCTCCATCATCACCCAGGACCTCAAGTGGGAGCTGAACATCAGCTCCATCACCAAGAAGGCTCAGCAGAGGTTGTTCTTCCTGAGGCAGCTGAAGAAACTCAACCTGCCAAAGACGATGATGGTCCACTTCTACACGGCCATCATGGAGTCCATCCTCTGCTCCTCCATCAGCGTCTGGTACGCTGCAGCCACAGCCAAGGACAAGGGCAGGCTGCAGCGGGTCATCCGCTCTGCAGAGAGGCTGATCGGCTGCAATCTGCCGTCCCTGCAGGACTTGTTCGCTTCCAGGTCTCTGAAGCGAGCTAAAAAGATGGTAGCCGACCCCTCCCACCCCGGACAAAACCTGTTTGTGCCCCTTCCATCTGCAGGAGGCTGAGGTCCATCAGGACTAAGACCTCCCGCCACACCAACAGTTTCTTCCCGTCGGCAGTCGGGCTCATCAACAGAGCCGGTCCCCCACTGACTGACTATAACACTCCACAGGTCACTCCCCTTCACACTGCACATGTCACTTTAACTCTCATTCATCACTCGATACTTTGTTGTCACTTGTCACTTTGTCACTTGTTTGTCACTTTGTTTTTTAATATTTTGTAACTTTTTTAATATTTTTAATTTTTAACTTCTTATTTTATACTAACCCATAGCCTTAGTCTACTAACCCATTGCATTAGCATTTCATTTTATTTTGTTACTTGTGCACTGCTGTCTTGTTGTCTATTGTTGTCACGCACCAACCGCCAAGACAAATTCATTGTATGTTTGACATATTTTGGCAATAAATGTTTCCTGATCCTGACAAATCATATTTTATTCATTATTTCAACATGATGTACTCTGACCTTGATTTTAACATAATATACTACACTGTATTTTTGACATGCTATACTATGACTTCTTTTAACTACACTGTGACTTGTACCTTATTTTTTGATTTATTTTTCATTTACCTGGATTCTGTTTACATAGTTTATATTTGTTTATATCCGTTTTTTCATTCAATCCATAGCGGAAAATATGATTCACATATTAAAGCTTTTCCTCACATGTTTACTTTTTTATCAATTACATCTCCATCCATATTGATACTGCAGAGTAATTGTTTCAATAAGAGGGTGAAAGAAGCCCCCCCTGACCCCTGACCCCTGACCCCCCGGGCGCTGACGTCACCCGGTAGGTCAAATATTGATTTCTATGTTTGACTCACCGTGATTAAAGACTCCCATTGGTCAGTTCGGGTCAGCTGTTCAACAATAACCCCCCCCCCACTCAGATTATCTCCATCCTCCTGCCGCTGAGATGTGAGTACTCACCATATCCCGTCCTTTTGGTTTTATTACATCGCGTATATTAAATAAATATTGATTTACGATCAGAAGTCGATCCTCTTTTGATCGCTTCACGCGTTGTTGTTGTTGTCGCGTTGTTGTTGTTGTTGTTGTTCGACTTGTTGAAAGCACGGATTCTTCTTTCGGATCCACGTTTCCTCGATTCTGAACCTTCTTTGGTTTTGGTTTTCACAACGCTCGAGTTGCTGGAAGGAAACCGTCGTTTGTCCGGATACAAATATAAATGTATAAATATAAATACAACACGAAACAATTTAAGGCGTCAAACAAATGCACATTTTATTTAATTCAGCTGTAAAATACATGAAGATGCTTCAAATGTCGCGTAAAACTGCGAGAACTTTACTGAGAAAAGAACCAACGCAGATGATGAAATATACGTTTTATTTGACGTATTTCTCCCCCCGGGGGGGCGGGGTGGAGGGGGGGGGGCGTCCATCCCCCTCAGCCTCCATCCGCACTAATCTTTCTCCATTTTGCTTTTGGAAAACAAGCCGCTGTTCGGACATCACGTATTCCAGAAAGTATTACAAGTCAATTCCAAATGTTACTGTTAATGATAAGTGGTATTAATTAAATATATGCAAAGTAACAAAAGTTCAAACCTCAAACGCTTTATATCAGATTTATATTTTTATTATGTATCCTGCTCGGTAACATTTTAAATCTCCTTTACTTGCAAAGTATCAACAGCTGTCAAACGAATACTGAAATAAGGTACAAGTACCTCCAGTGTGTATTTGATTACCATCGTAAACGTTGAAAGGATCCGCTTAGTTCTACTTCAAGAAAAAGGGTTTCTGTTTGTGCGTTTGTGTGTAGCTTTGTTACATTGTCTGTTGTGTCATGAACATGTTTGTGTTCTCGCTTCTCATCAAACATCAAACATCTGTTTCATCGCGTCAACTTAAGATCCATCGAGGACTCGTTTCTGTTTTTACATTTTCATGTCGTCGTTCCCTTTTGCCCCCCCCCCCCCCCCCCCCCTCCTCCCCCCCCTCCGGCCCGCAGGTCGACTCCAGATGCAGCAGGTACCGGCGGGGGGCCCGACGGCGAGGGGGGCGCCGCGGCGGCGGCCCCCAACCTCACCAGCAACAGACGCCTGCAGCAGACGCAGGCTCAGGTGGACGAGGTGAGGAGAGGGACGTTGTGGGGGGCGGGGGGGGCGGAGCAATGGATGAAGGTGTGATCCGTCCGTCAGGTGGTGGACATCATGCGCGTGAACGTGGACAAAGTCCTGGAGCGGGACCAGAAGCTGTCGGAGCTGGACGACCGGGCCGACGCGCTGCAGGCCGGAGCCTCGCAGTTCGAGAGCAGCGCCGCCAAGCTGAAGAACAAGTACTGGTGGAAGAACTGCAAGGTGGGCGCGGCTCCTCCCATCATGCATCAGGCCACCAGCTAGCGGCTAGCAGCTGATGTTTTGGGGGTATTCATTCAATCGCATCCAGACACAATTAACAAAAACGCAACCGGGTTCCTCGTCGTGTGTCGTCAGTTCAGATAATTGAACTTTAACGACCTGCTGCTGGATCGGTTTGACCCGGATCTTCGTTCTCCAGCCGCCATCTTTGTCCCCTCCGTCCTCGCGTCCCTCTGCCGGGGCAATCGTCCAATCAGAGGCTGGCGTTCAGGGAGGCGGGGGAGTGAAAAGCACCAGGAAGTCAGAGAGAAATCCCAATCTGGATTAGAGTGACAGTCTGGGATTAAAAGACAGCTGTGATTTGTGATGTAACCCCCCCCCCCCCCCCCCTCACACACACACACACACACACACACACGCTGGTCCTTGTATCCTTGAGAGGACCCTGCAGTTACAGCCGCAATGTGTCAACCTCTAAAACCTCTACCTTCATTCAGGTGTCAGAAAAGATGAAAACCACCTGAATGAGCTTCTTCATCACGTCACTCAGACGGTCATTTATTTAAACTCAACCCCTCAAACACCAGAGCACCAAATGTGGATTAATACGCTGAAAACCGTCCCCGACAAATGGACCATTTCCTTCTGTTGGACGGACAAACACTGCAGACGCTTTAGGAGATACGTGAGAATTTACTGCAGCCGGATGTCTCCCACTAACACACACCCAATATATCAAATATGATATGAACATATAAATGTCTCTTCTTCTCCAGCTCATGTCATGCATTCCTTTTAGTGAAATAAAGTAAAATGAAACTCATTTTATTCTTTGTGTTTTTCCTGCAGATGATGATCATCATGGCAATTATTGGTCTCATTTGTTTCGGAGTAATTTTCAGTAAGTAATCACACATCCTTCCGTCACACACACACACACACACACACACACACACACGTCCATCCTTCAACAGTATTATATAATCCCGTAGATTTGAAAAGATCACTTGAAGCAGTGTCTCCATGAACTCCTCCACTCTTCCTCCTCAGTGTACTTCTTCTACTGAGCGTGTCTTCAGGGACGGACATGCACCTCCTCCTCCCCCCTCCTCTGCTCCTCCTGCCGCTCCTCAGAAACCCTGCGGCGCCTCCTTCGGTCGTCCCGGCTCCTCGGGCAAAGCCTCCCTCAGGCAGGAGGCCCGAGCGGACGGAATGTTTCAGGCTTTTCGGGGTCGACCCAACTGGGAAAGTTAAATAATTAGAAGTTGATACAAAAAAAAGTGAATCCCTCGTCTTTTATAAAAGTCACATTGATCGTGTGTTCAGGATTGATTATTGGTTATTAAATGTAATGATGGTGGCGGGTGGAGGAGAGGGGGAGCACTGGGAACCGTAAGGTTGGCTGCTCCACGTCCCACCTCGAAGTGTCCCTGAGCAAAGACACCTGACCCCTACTTGCTCCCCGCAAAATGTTTAAAGCCATTCTTGAACAACAGTTATGAACCAACCCCGCCACAATAAAGGTCCACTGCTTTGCTAATGAACATGAGGAAGTCAGCTGATATTTCACATTACAATTAAAGAGATATTGAACCGAAACAACAGCAAACAGCTTATTCAAATGGATTTTTCTCCTTCGTTTTATTGCTCTTCGTGCAGCCGTGTTGTTCTTGTTCGGGATTGTCGCCCCCTGCTGTCAGCATCGGTACTGCAGCTGATGCGTTTCCACGGAAACAATGAAGATTTTAATGTCGGATGTTCAGTTTTTGTCGTCACGTTGTCCCAACTTGTGTTTTCTCGTCTGAACGTTTCCGTGCTCTGAATGTGACTCGTGTGTAAACTGTAGATATTTATCAGAATGTCTGAAAATCAGCATCAACGGTTCTTCGGCTCTGCCGGATGCAAAACATTTAACGTTGGAAGTTCTCTTCCGTTATTCTGTGAATTCAAATAAATTCATGTTTGCAGCAGAGATGTCGAGTTGTTGCTCTGATTTACGCTGTAAACACCAAAATGAATACGTGACTATATTTCACATATTTTACTGTAAAGTGAATGTCATCAAAGTGACATGCTTAAGGAATTAATGCATGTCAGAAAGTAGATTCAAATGTACATAATGAAACGTACTAAAATGTAATATCTGAAGATTCTAGAAAAAAAGAAATAATTCAACCGCTGGAGCCAGTTTGCCTAATCTGAAGAAAAACACCTGAAACGGACCAGTAGGAGTTTAAAAGGTGACTCTAGAAGCTCCGCCTCCAAAATATAAATCAGATTTATAAATTTGAAAGTGTTCATGCAACCGCAGATATTAAATCACACCTTAATGTTCACCCAACTTACCACATTTGTTTCATTTTTTTTATTTAGGTCCCAAAAAAACCATAATAATAACATTATATCAATAATATTAATACAGAAATTGAAAAAAGGAGGAAAAAAAATAAAATAGCTTTTCTGTCCACGGCCTCAAAATTTGGGGAAGGGATTCGATCCTCCAGAAAAACTGTTTAATGTCTGTTTTTTGGGGGCGTGGGGGGGGCTGGGCGTGGCTTCAAGCTTGAGCGTGCTGTCTGTCATTCTGCTGTGCACCAATCAGGAATGTCGAGGTGAGGCAGGGCTTTTTCTCCGAGGTGAAGTGCAGAGTTCCAGTCTACTGCTGTGACATCTGGGGGGGGCGCACGCACACAGACACACACACACACACACACACCACACACACACACACACACACACATCGTCTTAGCCATCAGATCTCTAGGAACAGTGTTGGGGAATATTTATTTTTTGGGTTTTCCTACCTGTTGCGTCTGTGACTGCGTCTGCGTCTCCGGCCCTCGGCTCGCCAGCCGGCTCAGGATGTTCCTCTCTGACATCTGGAGCCGAACGGCGACCGGCGGAATCCGGGCGATGGTTGCTGGGAGGCGGGTGACGTCCGCCTTCATGTCGCTGAGCAGCTCCTCCAGCTGCTTCAGCACTGAGAGAGGAAAAAAAAAAAAAGATGAGTCAGTTTTCCCAGTAGTCTTCTTCTACCGTTTACTACACAGATCATCAAATGTAGATATGCAACCAGTGAACAGACGTGACAATATTTGGGTTGAGGAGGAATGGCGCTGTTATTATCAAAATAATGGACCATCATTTACTGAATGAACATCACCAGAAGACATGAAACTAGAGATTTACAATGTTTACTGAGGGAATAAATCAAGACAGAAGTGGAGTCATTTCCTCATAGACGTCTATGGGAGCAGAGGAGTCGCCCCCTGCTGGTCACTACAGAGAAGTAGAGTCATTTCCTCATAGACGTCTATGGGAGCAGAGGAGTCGCCCCCTGCTGGTCACTACAGAGAAGTGGAGTCATTTCCTCATAGACGTCTATGGGAGCAGAGGAGTCGCCCCCTGCTGGTCACTACAGAGAAGTAGAGTCATTTCCTCATAGACGTCTATGGGAGCAGAGGAGTCGCCCCCTGCTGGTCACTACAGAGAAGTAGAGTCATTTCCTCATAGACGTCTATGGGAGCAGAGGAGTCGCCCCCTGCTGGTCACTACAGAGAAGTAGAGTCATTTCCTCATAGACGTCTATGGGAGCAGAGGAGTCGCCCCCTGCTGGTCACTACAGAGAAGTAGGGTCATTTCCTCATAGACGTCTATGGGAGCAGAGAGGAGTCGCCCCCTGCTGGTCACTACAGAGGATGCAGCTTTAAGACATCGGGTTTCAGAGGTTGCCCATCGGCAGGAGGTGTCGCCGCCCCGCCTCACCTTTGTGCAGGACGGCGTTGGCCGGCTTGTTCCCGGACATGGACTCCTTGCTGAGGTGCTGGTGCGACTCGGCCAGGCACTCCACCTCGCTGAAGCGCGTGTTGAGGGCCATGGAGGGGTGCGAGGGGTCCTCGGACATGTTGAGGTAAGCGGCGCGACGCAGCTGCTCCTCGATCACCAGCGCCTGTTCCAACAGCTGCACGAGAAGGTGGGGGGGGGTCATATATATGAAATGTATAAATGATGATAAGAATGACGTCAGATTTGACCAATTTTCACAGGTGAAATACGCAAACATTTTTTAGAGGAAGTGAAAATAACGCCTACCTTGAACCTCCTGGCGAGGAACTTGTTCTTGATCTCCAGGAAGTTCCCCCGGTTCATCTCCCCCTTGAAGGGCTCGTTGAGGATGGCGAACTTGACGTCGTTCTGGATGTCCTGCCAGCGGGCGTAGCCGTGTCTGAGAGGAGGTCAAGGGCAGCAACTCTTCCTCAGTGCCTCAAACCAAACACCTTCAAATCCCCATCGCAGCCCACATGAGAATCACAGGCGGTAAAAAAGAGGATACTGTATGATGCCGGCCAGCAGCCAGTAGTCATGGCGACGGTGCCAGATCTCGTTGGTTTTCTTGGTCACCGTGGCGGCGCGCTCCTCGTTCTGCCACAATGAGTGAAGCTCTGAAAGAGGACAGAGGAGGGTCAGCAGGTGAACGCGTGTGTGTGTGTGTGTGTGTGTGCGCGCGCGCGCGCACACATACCTGTGAATCCCCCATCAGCGATGTTGAACATGAACCGGCTCTTCGCCTTCTTCTTCTCCTCGCTGCTGGCGGCAGCGATGACTGCTGCTGCGGTCGAGGCGGCGAGAGGAGGAGGGGCGGCGGCGGCCGTTGCTCCGCCCTCTTTGCTGCCATCTCCGTTCTGCAGTTTGGCGACGTCCTCCGCCTTCAGAGGCTCCTTCTCGTCCTTCAGATCGGCTGCAGGAGGAACAAAAGGAGACGCCATTTAAAAAGACGCACACAAAAGAGCGCGTGAAGAGCGGCTGCGGGTCGAAGGTGAGGAAACGCGCTCGCCACCTTTCTTTTCATCAGCGGGAAGCGCGACGTCCATCTTTTCTTCTTTCTTTTCTTCTGCTGCAGCACAGAAAAATCCCATTTAAGAATAAAAAGGTGTCAAGTACGTTCGTTAACGTCCCAAACGAAACAACAACAAGCGCCCCTCAAGAAAAGAGGAGGAGTTTTACCTTTGACCTCGGCGTCCTCTGGTTTGACCTCTGACCCCTCTGCCTTGGCCTCCGGCGTGGACTTTGTGTCCTCTCCTCCCTCCGAACTCTTGGTCCCTTCCTCTGCCTCCTTCTCCTTGTCGGCCTCCCCGTTGCCGGGCTTGTCCGTCTCCATCGGCTCCTCGCCGTTCTTCTTGCTCTCCGGCTCCGGACTCTTCTGCTCCTCCTCCTCGTCGTCCTCGTCCTCGTCGTCTGGGATGGCGATCACCTGGGGAGGGAGAACATTTCGAAATAAGAATATATATATATATATATATATAAAAAAAAAAAAGAAAAGATCCTGCTTCTATCCAGAGCGCTCAACGCGTCTTCACCTCGTCGACCTCTTTGCCGTTCTTCTCCGCCTCGCCCTCCTTCTTCACCTCCTCCGGGTCCTTCGCGGTCTCCTCCATCTTTGAGTCGTCACCTGTGGAAAGGGACCCCAAAAAAACCTCATTAGGTCGCTTCCGGCGGGCCTCCCTCGGGTGCGTGCGCGGCGAGGAGCGGGGGGGGGGGGGGGCCTTACCCGGAGCGGGCGTGTTGGGCTGCGTGTCGGCCGGCGTGCCGGTGGACGGGGTCTTGCCGGGCGAGTCGGGCTGACCCGCTGCCGCCGCCTTCTTGCTCTCCTCCAGCTCGGCCATCCAGGGCATCGACCACTGGCCGTTCACGTGCTCGAACTCCTGCACCTGGATGACGGAGGCGAAGCAAGCGAGAACTTCAACATCAGCATTAGAAACCACGGGTTCGCGGATCCAGACACACAAGTAGAAAAGTCCAGCTCGTGTTTTTTTTATTTATTTTTTTACCTTCTTGCGAATGAGCGACATGACACCGATGCGCGTGAGAACGTGTTGCCGTGACAACCCTTCTCTGGGGACGCCGTCGGCAAAGGTCTCGGCCCCGTCGGCGCCGGGCTCGCAGAGGTGACGCATGAAGAGGGAGACGTACGCCCTGAGGGGGGCGGGGGGATTATTTAACATTTCATCACTAAATGTAAGTAAGCAAAATAAAAACAGCCGTAAATGACTTAAATAAAAGCGCACGTGCATTAGAATAAGACCAACATGTAGAATCTGCACATTCTGGTTTTCCTCAGACGTTTCTTACTTGAACTCTTTCTCAGATTTCCCCCGCAGGTCCCGGACCAGCCACTGGGTGGTGAAGGCGTCCTGGGGGGGCATCCCATAACGCATCACTGCGTTCAGGAAGGCCTTCCTCTGCCGAGAGTTGAAGCCCAACACCTGGAGGGGGGGGGGGGGCAGGGTTTCATTTTGCAGGTACTTTTTAGGAGGGGGGGGGTGTCAATGCAGTAGAGAGGATGAAGCGCCTCACCTCGATGTTGCCTCCCACCCTGGCCAGCAGGGGGGGCAGCGGCTTGTCTTTGTCGTTCCTCAGGCCCTTCCTGCTCGGCCGGCGAGAGTTGGCTGCAGAAGAAGAAGCCGAGGAGGCGATTAAGGCGACTCGCTCACGTCTTTAGTGTTTTCTACGGTTTGTTTTGTTGCTTTTAGGTTTGAAGAACCAGGAAACAGGAAGAGAGAAGCATCCTTTTGATACGCTAGAAAGCTTCAAGGAAACTGGGAATGTTTGAAGCCGAATCTTGATGCTTTTTCTGGTTTCTTTTCGTTCACCGTTTCGTCTATTTTTATATTTAAAAATGACTTTAACGTGGAGTTACCTTCCGTTCGCTCGTCAAAGTCCTCGTCTCCCTCCTCAGACGCCACCGAGTAATCCGATTGGCCGTCAGACTGGTCGTCCTGCCAATCGGCTTCGAGATGGAAACAAGAGACATTTATTTTGTTAAATGGCCGTCGAGGAACACAGAGATATTTTTGTTACTAATCAAACATACACTCTGGGTCTGAACCTCTTACACGTTGTTTATTGTTTATGCATCATGAACGAACAAAGCGTTTTCCGGCAGTGTCCTCGCGCCAAACGGGCTGAGATCAT